AAGACTGAAAAATAGAAAAGGGGGGGTAGGAGGCTTGAGGGGTTTGCTCCTGGAAGAGATGGAGAGAAGGATTGGATTGAGAGTATGTCTTCCCTAATAAGTGATTTGCTATTCCATTCATCACAGCAAATGTTCCAAACCATCTCTCCTCAAGCCTCCCATAGCACCTTCTCCATCTACCCTCTCACCTGGACTCCTGCATCACTTAAAAAATTGAGACAATTCACCAAGAGCTCTCCCTTTTCCCCTCTTCCTCATTTCCCATCATGTTCCTTCACTATCTCCTCTTTCACCCCTATCTCACTTGAAGAAGTGGCCCTTCTCCTTCCCAAAGCAAACCCTTCAACATGCACCCTTGGTTTCCTCTCCCTTTCTGTCTTCTTTGGCAGATTGCCTCCTCTATCACTCACACTCTCTCTCATCTTCAGCTCTCTCTACCCGTGGTTCCTTCCCTGATGTCTATAAATATTCCCATGTCTACTCCGGCCTTAAAAACCCTCACTGGATCCAACTATCGCTGATGGTTATCAGCCTATATCTCTCCTTCCCTTCATGGCTAAACTCCTTGAGAAAGCCATCTACATTCAGGCTCTCCACTTTCTCACCTCTTACTTTCTTCCAAACTCTCTGCAATTTGTCTTCTAACCTCTTCATTGAATGGAAACTGCCCTCTCCAATATTACTGGTGATCTCTTAATTGTCAAATCTGATGGTCTTTTCTCAATTCTGAACCTATTTGATTTTGTGGCAATCATTCCCTTCTTTTATATACTCTTTAGGTTTTCAGGACATTGCTCTCTCCTGGTTCTACTTTTATCTGTCTCACCACTTTTTTTTTTTTAAAGGCAGTTGGGGTTAAGTGACTTGCCCAGGGTCACACAGCTAGTGTCAAGTGTTTGGTCTGAGGCCAGGTTTGAACTCAGATCCTCCTGACTTCAGGGCCGGTGTTCTATCCCCTGCGCCACCTAGCTGCCCCCTCACCACTTCTTCTTAGACTCCTTTGCTCATTCTTCATACAGGTCATGCCAACCAATTCTAGGTGGACCCCAAGGCTTTGTCTTGGGACCATTTCTCTTTTTACTCTGTATTATATCACTTCATGATCTCACCAGCTCTCACTTCATTCAGTTATCATCACTTGCTAATCTGTATACCCAGCCAGACCTAGTCTCTACGCCCTGAAACTCCAACTGCCTCCTAGACATATTAAATGAGATGTCTCCTTGTTCAGTCATTTCAGTTGTGTTCAACTCTTTATGACCCCATTTGGGGTTTTCTTGCAGAGATACTGGAGTGCTTTGCCATTTCCTTTTCCAGCTCATTTTACAGATGAGGAAATTGAGGCAAACAGGGTGAAGTGATTTGCCTAAGGTCACACCGCTAGTAAGTGTCTAAGGCCATATTTGAACTTAGGTTTTCCTGATTCTAGGTCCAGTGCTCTATCCACTGCACCACCTAGTTGTCCTTAGATGTCCCCTAGATATCTCAAACTGAACTTGTTCAAAATAGAACTCATTATCTTCCCCTACCAAACCTTCCCTCTTCTGAATGTCCTTCTTCCTGTCAAGGGGCATCATCCTCCCAATCACCCAGATCTGCCATCTCAGTGCCATCTTCACCTTCTCACTCTTTACTCATCCCACACAGCAAATCTATTGACAATGCTTGTCTTTTCTACCTTCATAATATAATTGATATATACCTCATTTCATACATATACACACAAAGACACATATATGTGTTTATGTAAGCATGTATATATGTACGTGCATGTAGAAGTATGTGTACATGTTTACGTGTATGTATATGTTTGTGTGTATATACATATGTATGTGTACACACACACACACACACCTCTCCACTCACACAAACATACCGTTGGTCCAGATCCTCACCATCTTTCACCTTCCTGTCTCACCTCTCCCCACTCCAATCCATCCTCCACTCAGCTGCCAAGCTGATTTTTCTAGTGTAGATCTGACCATGTCACCTCTCCCCTTGCAGTGGTTCCCTATTACCTCCAGAATCAAATCTAAAGTCCTCTGCTTGCATTATAAAGTTCTTCATAACCTGGCCCTTTCCTATCTTTCCTGCACTCTGTGATCCAGCTCCATGGACTTATTTGCAGGTCCCCAAACACCTCACCTTCTGAGCACTGTGTACCCTCCCCCCCCTCACCATGCTGCCCTCTTAGTTTCCCTGACTTCTTTCAAACCACAGCTCTTTGAGAAGGAAGGATGAACAACAATAAATCCTACCTTCTACAGGAAGCCCTGGACAGCTGGGTGGGAGTGGATAGAGAAGCAGGACTGAAGTTAGGAAGACTTATCTTCCTGAGTTCAAATGCAGCCTCAAATACTTACTAGCTGTGTGATCATGGGCAAGTCACTTCACCCTGTTTGCCTCAGTTTCCTCATCTGTCAAATGAGCTGGAGAAGGAAATGGCAAACCGTTCCAGTGTCTTTGCCAAGAAACCGCCCCCCGAGGGGTCATGAATTGTGGGACACGATTGAATAAACAGGAAGCCCTCTTAGCTACTTTCCATATCTCGTATGTCCCACGTTATTATGTGTGTGTCGTCTCCCCCATTTAAGTGTAAGCTTCTTGAGGCCAAGGACTGTTTTGGCCTCTTTGTCCCCTGAGCCTGGTATGGTGCTTGGCACGCCAGATGTGGTTAAATCAAAGCTTCTTGATGGAGTGTGACAACCTTACATTCTCCTGAATGGAAACAATATGAATACAGTTAAATAAATACAATACAGATATGCAAAGCTTAAGAAATAACCTGCACATACATGAGCAAATGCAAAAGAGATACAAAGGGAATCCCGGGCTTAGGAATCTATCAGAGGAAACAACATGTGCCAAAACGGTTATATACAAAATAGCACCAGAGAGCCAGAGCTGGAAGGGACAGTAGAAGCCATTTTGCAGACGAGGAAACAAATGGAGACCAAGAAAGATTAAGGGACCTGTCCAAGGTCACACTGTTCTTAAGAGATAGGCCAGTTCCTCTGACAAAAAAGCCAGTGCCCTCTCTGCAGGATTGGTGAGGGAGACACTGGTAGATGAAGAGATCAGGAAAGGTCTCCTCCTGCTGGAAGTGAACTGAATTCTGAAGGAAAAAAAATAGCGAAAAGGTGGAGAGGAGGAATACATTTCCTCCCTAGGTGACACAGTGGACAGAATGCTGGCCCTGCGATTAGGAAGACCCGAGTTTCAATCTGGTTATTATAATAATAATAATTTCAGACAAGGGTGGGGGGACCAAAGACATGGAGATAGGAGACGGAACACAGTGGGTATGTAAGGACAGTTTGGCTTGGCTGGACCCTGAAGTAGAGGGAGGGAAGTGAACTATCCTAAGACTGGAAAGGCAGCTTGGAGACAGATTGTGGATTAAGATCCTAGAGGCAATAGGAAGCCACGGGAGTTTACTGAGCAGGAGAGTGACCCGGGAGCCGAGGTCTAAGTCCAGAGCCGGAAAACTCTTCAGCATCTCTCTAACGGGTCCAACCTTTTCATTTTACAGTAGAGGAAACTTCGAGCCAAAGAGATGCGTTTTGCCCAGGATCCCAGGGGAGATCTGAACCCACGACTCGGGATTGCAGAGGCAGAACTTTGGCTTATGCCACCTCCCAAAGACACGTGCAGCTCTCGGGGGCTGTTTGGGGGAGAGGCCTGACACCACTTAGCAGGCTGCTTCCATAACGGCAAGAAGAGGGCGCAAGTGGAGGCCCCCCAGTGCGGGACGCAGCGCTCCGCCTCCCCAGAAGGATGCCCCGAGGGGACAGTAAACCGGCCCACTGACACCTCCCGAGAGCGCGCGCCGGGCACGTGCGACCCGGGATAGGTGCACCGCGCGTGCACTCATGCTGTGGCCTGGGGAGGGGGCGCGGGTAGGAGCGGCTTCGGGGACAGCGCGGGCGCCGGTTCGATGACGCCCCCGCCGGGCTGCGGTCCCTTTAAAACTCCGAAGGCCCCGCCTCCTTGGTGAGGTCAGCGCGCTCGCGTGCGTGTGATGCGCTGGTTGCCGCAGAGACGCCCCGCCCCCCGCGCGGTGCTGCGGAACCAGGAGCCCCGGGCGGCGGCAGCCGAGGCTGGACGGGCGGCCAGGGGCGAGGGAAGGACGACGACGACGAGCGCGGCCGGGCCGAGCTGAGGCGAGAGCGGCCGCCGCGAAGCGGGCCAGCCGCACGGACGCCGGGCCCAGACATGGTGCTGATCAAGGAGTAGTGAGTGTCCGGGGCAGGCGGCCGGCCGGCGCGGGGGACCCCCCGGGGCGAAGGCGGGGGTGCGCGCCGGGAGCGGGGAGCGCGCGCGGGGGGGGGGAGCCCGGAGCGCGCGCGTGCCAGGGCAGCAGGGGGGTGGGGGGAGGCCGGGCTGAATGGGACTGACCTGGGGGCCCGGGCCGGGGGCTGGGCCACTGGCGGGGTCCGGTGCCCAGGGTTCTGGAGGGAGGAAGGAGGCACCGCAGGGTTAGGGGGTGCTAATGAGGGGGATGAGGGTGCTGAGGGATGGGGTCACTGAAGGGGGGAAGGGGTGCTGAGGGCCAGGAAGGGATGGGGGAGACGGGTGGGGACTTTGGAAGGGACAGCCAGGCAAGCTATGGTGGGGAGAGGGGGGGTCCTGCGGGAGTGGGGAAGGGGTGCATGAAAGGGCAGAGGGGGCTGTCTCACATGGGATCTTGAGAGGCAAGGGCTGGCTGGGGTGCGATTGGGATGGAGAGCAGGGCCTGATTGGTTGCTGAGCAGTAGGAGGAATAAAGGAGGAGATAGAGAGATGTCCTGGCAGGAGGGATCAGAGGTGACCTGGCAAGGATTGGGAAGGAGGGAAGGGAGGCTGATTGAGATGAGCCAGGGAAGGCTCTGGGTTGACAGGGGCGGCTGGTGGGGTCTGGGGGTTGGGCAGACGAGAAGAGGTTTGGCGGGGAGGTGCTCCAGAGGCAGAGGGGAGATTGGGGTCATAGAGAAGGATGGGTGGGAGGAGTTTATGGAACAGACTGACATGATAGGGCAGGATTTGGGGGGTCATGGGAGGTAAGGAGAGATGATAGTTTGAGGGGCTGGAGGGGTGACAAAGAAAGATAGCTGGGATGATGGGGATGTCGGAAGACAGTCAGGAGTGTAATGGAATTTAAGGTGGGGGGAAGGGATTGGCAAAGGTTTGAAGGGATGTGGAGATTTCTAAGCCCAGTGTTGTGAAGGGATTGGGGTGAGGGATTGATTTGAGGGAAGGAAATACAGTCCCAAGACTATGGGAGGGGCTTATTGGCCCCAGTGGTATGTTGAGAGGAGACACAAGTCACCCAAGAGGATGAGAAGGGGGAGTCCTTGTATAGTGGGGGAGTAAGGAGGTAGCACATCATTCTTAGTGTTTGTGGCCCTTGTGGGTACTTTAGAGAAGGGAAGTGAGTCTTCGTGTCCGGAACCCATGATAGATGAAGATGTTAAAATTCCCAGATCTCCTGAGCATTGGGAACAGTATTCCTACTTCTCATCCTGAGTAAATGGCACAGAGCCATCTTCAAAGATGATGGATGGGGAAATTGGGTACAATGTTAAGAGAACTCTGCGTCTTTCGTAGGGGAGAGCAAGGAGGGCTGTAAGGGAAGATTCAGTGTCTCCACGGAGTACAGAAATGACTGATGAGAAGTGGGGAGCTGGTGCAGCTTCTTTGGGGACCTTACGAGGTAGACGCTGGGTTGTGAGTCTTTGAGTGTTTCCCCTTCTTGCAAGAGGGCCACTTGGTTCTCATTCTATAGAGGGTATAGTACAAAGGTGCTGTGGGTGTTAAGAAACCAGGGACCTAAGAGCTGTCCAAGAAAGGCCTTGTTTCTCACCTGCACAGCAAGACTTTAAAATTGTCCAAGGTGCGGCCTGGTTAAGGCATTTTCCAGCCCCGGGACCTCGCAGGTGTTGGGATTGGGCTCTTTGAAGTCTACAGGGGCAGAATCCAGTATGATCTTAGAGATTCACATTGTGATTGTGGAAAGGAGGAAAAGGTAGAAAATGTTTCCTGGGTTATTTTTTCAGGAGAGAGAGAGTTGTAAGGAGGCTCTGGTAACTTTGGAATTTTAACTCTTTGTGCCCAAGTTAACAGCCTTTTTCCCTCTGTCCTTCTTCTCACAACAAAGTGCTGCAGGAATCTGCAGTCAGCTGCAGTTGGGAGTTTTATAGGGAGGGTGAGCCTGGAAGGGATCTGAACACTTTCCGAAGAGGAGTTCTCTCTATTTGTTCTTTGATCGCCTCTGGTTCAGAGGCCAGCAGTGCGGCAGCAGCAGCAGCAGGCATCTATCTCCGTTTCCTTTCAGACGTGTGCTCAGCATGTGGGCATGTGTGTGCGTGTGCCATGCTCTGGGGCATGTGCACCCGTGTGCCTGGAGGGGGAGGGGTCTGGGATACTTTGCCATAACTGCAGCGCTGCAGCTCCTGAGAAGGGGCAGAGTGAAGGTCACACTAACAGGACACTGATTTGAGTCTCCAGACCTGGTGGTGGATGTTCATTACCTTTGTCCTGCTCTCTAGGGCTGGGAAGGTGGCTTCATTTCCAGGTATTAGTGGAGAGAATGAATGGCTTTAGAGCCATAACAGAGCAGCTCTGGATGGTCCTGGCAAGAATTAGCTCAGGCAAGCCCACCTGCCTCTGGCTGGACTCAGGGGCCAGATGCTTTCCAAGTTGCTGTCGACTTTTCTGATGATTCCTCAAACGGAAGTCCTCACAGTCTAACATCAACAAAATTCCAAATACGGTTTTCCCTACTGTTCTTGAATTTCAAAGGCTCGTTGTTTTCTAGGAAGTTTCTTTTGAGGGTGTAGGAATTCTTGTCCCCAAATAAAGAGTATTTCTATGGTGTTTGTGTTCTCTAAGGAGAGGAAAGTGTCAGCAGCAGTATCCAATAAACTGGATTATTTGAGTCGTTCCGGGTTCTTTACCTAGTAGCAGATGCTCTGAGCCCATTGGGTTTAGTCAGCCACTCTCGCTAGATGCTGGGGTCTTAGTCCGTCCAACCCCGTGTGCGCTTCCCACCTTCACTGGGAGACCTCATGGGCCAGTACTGTAACAGTGAACTGACTCTTCACTGGTTTGGGGAGAGGGGCAGGATTTGAGGAACGTTGCACAAGGAGGAGGCCACTGCTCTTGCTTTCATTGATGGGACTTAACTAGACACTTGCAAGATGCAGAAGATTTCAGTAGCTGTCTCTGAGCCCTAGAAAATGAAAGCCGGGGCTCTGTAACTGGCTCACTAGGTCTGAGCATATGTTGCCCATTACCAAGCCATTGGCCTCCAGCTGCCTTCCCCCCAAGTAGACATTGGGCTTCTCTGCATACCAAGGACTCTGCTTGTAAAGAACTTTATAAAACTCAAAAAGTCTGACAAACGTGAGCTCAACAAAGCTGCGTAGGAAAGCATAGGTAGCCCCTGGTTCTTGGTTACTTAGCAGGGTGGGAGAAGTAAGAAAACCCAAATGATTGGTTTGGTCGCTTCTGGATGACCCTTGGAAGGTGGATCCCACCGACTGGATACAACTACCACTGAGACTTGACCTTAGCTGTGCTGTGGTCTCCTTTCAGGCTGGTTGATTGATTGATTGGTAGAGGTCTTTAATTAGTGGATGTTTGAGAATGAAGAGTCCACTGAGGCATTTGGTTTGGCTTCATTCTAGTGCTTGGAGAACCAGCAGTGCTGCTGAGCTTTTTGGGGGAAGTGGGATGAGTGGAGTGTCCAGAAGCAGAGGGGGCTGCATTCAGTTGATTTCGGAGCTGCTGCTCTGGGGCATCAGGTGTAGAAGGCTCTTTATCTAACAGGTGGGAGCTGCAAGCCCTGACCTGGGGTGGGGTGGGGGGTGAGGGAGGGAGAGTCAGCTGAGCTCCTCACCCTGGGGTCTGCATCACACCTAAGTCAGCCTCTTCTGTCTTGACCAGACTTATCAATTGCTCACCAGGGGAGGGAGGCATCTTGATGTGTGAGCAGAAGGAGTTCCGAGTGAGTCATAGATGAGGCTCCTGGTGCTCCAGATGAGTGTGCTGGGAGGTCACCATGTATTGTAGATTGTAATCTCCTGGAGGGCAGAGCCTACTGCCTTCCATGGAGTTCTCATTTACAGTATGGTGCCACCTAAATTAGGACTTAATAAATCCTTTTAATGATGATCTAAGAGTCTTGTACAGGTTCCAAGGCCTGAAGCTGATACCTTGTTTTCTCTCTCTTACAGTCGAGTTGTCTTGCCTGTGTCTGTGGATGAGGTAAGTCCTTTTTCCCCCGATCTCCTCTGTGGCTTTTTTTTTTTTTAAGTGTTTTTCTCTGGTCAGCTAAGTTGGAACTTAATGCTGCTCAGACTGATGCCCTCCCCTCTGTTTTCACTTTGTCCTAAAGTAGGAATGAGCTGTGCTCATTTTGACCAGCTTCATTTTTTAAAAAAAAAAAAAGGTCACTTTTCATCCATTGAGGTCCTTTATTCTCAACACTAAGGGCCCGGCCTGGATGCTCTCCTGGCTTGGCCTCAAGCTAGCCAGGTGCATGGGTGGTTTTTTACTCCTAAGATAAAGCTAGCCTGTATCACAGACTTTGGGGGTAATGGAGGGACACCTCCTTGGGTGTGATCACTGGTCACATTGAACGATGTGTGTCAGTGAACTGAGGTGTTGGTCACTTAGGGAGTCTGTAGGAACTCTTTGTCCTTGTGTGACAGACCAAGACGGCCTATTGGGAAAGGAATGTGCAAGGACCCTCCTCACTCCCTGAGGCCCCTGATGGCGAAACGAAAGTGTACAAGTCTGTTTCCAAGGGAGGAGAATGAAAACAGAAATGATTGGTTTACCCACTTGGCTTCTGGTTATGGGATGCTCCGGCCAAGTCAGCCTGAGGAGATTTCAGTCAGAGTAGTGACTCAGCATTTGTCCTCTAGAAAGAGAACTGTCCCGGGGGGCTGCCTCACCTGCCACCCCCGCCTCCCTCCCGCTCTCTGCTTTGTGACCAGCTCCTCTTCCTCCCAGAATTGAGCACCTGTACACAGAGCTTCTTGGTAGGTCCCTGGTTCAAACACACCCAGAGACTGTAAGCCTAGGAGCCCCAGAGGGGTGGGGCAGGTGAGGGGGCAGTGACACAAGCTTGTTTTCTGGTGCTCTCATCCGTGGAACCCCACCTATCCTTACCTTTGGATGGTACTTATCATAAGTGTTTCTCACTGATAACAAACTGCCTTATATGTACAAATAGTACTTAAAAAAAAAACCAAAACCAAAAGCTCAGGCAAGCAAAAAAAAAAAAAAGAGAAGAGGAAGGCACTTTTTCTCTGTGGCAGGTATCCTGTCTCAGTTGCAGTTTCCATTCTCCATGAAAGGAGTGAGGAATACTGATGTGACCCTCCCAGAGGACTGTGCTCACTGTCAGACTTCACACATGAGAAGCGTTGTGGGAAACCTAGAGACAGGCCCAAGGCCAGCCACAGAGGTCGAGGTCTGTGAAGGTGGAGGGCAAAGCAGGGATTCTTTTTTTTTTTTTTTTTTTTGGTAAGGTAATTGGGGTTAAGTGACTTGCCTAGGGTCACACAGCTAGTAAGTGTCAAGTGTTTGGTCTGAGGCTGGATTTGAACTCAGGTCCCCCTGACTCCAAGGCTGGAGCTTCAAACTTCTGCTTTGGGTCTCTGCTCTATCTACTGCGCCACCTAGCTGCCCCTGTTGTCCAGTTCTTCAAGAAGAATTGTGTCACCTTAGTTTGTGACATAAGAATTTTGGTTAGGACATATGCACATGTTTTTAGGCACTGGACAAGTGACAGAGAGTGCCTGTGAAATGTCCTCTGTATTGGAGGGCAGCAGTATCCGAGAGGGGCTCTGTGATTTGTCTGGGGGCAGCAGTGGCCAAGCCTCAGGCCAGGCCACAACCAGAGGGGTCTTGAATGCCCAACTCAGGGTGTCCAGTGACATTCCCGTGGCCTGGCACAGCCTTCCCTCTGGCTGGAGGCTGTCCCTGAAGGAACCTGAAGTACCTGAGTTCTTGGGTCCTTTTATGGGGCAATGGAGGTCCTTCTCCCAGGTGGAAAGTGTGGAATGGTTTCCAGCTTCTTGCTGCCACAGTCTGGAGAGGGTCTGATGCCCTGGAGCTTCTCGTCCCTGTGAAGAGGAGGCCAGGTAGGCAGACCAGAGTGAGGTCCCTGGCTCCTAGGAGGCACTTTACACAGGGGGACAGTGAAGCCCAGAGCAGTGACTTGCCCAGGGTCACCTAAAGCCAGGATATGAACCCGAGTCTTTGACTCCAAGCCCGGTGCACCTTCTGTTGCCTTGCCGCTGCCCTCGTTTATTATAGGGCCTGATGTTGGCAGATTGAAGAATTCCCTCTTCTTCTCAGCATTGGGTCTGAAATCATTTGGTTTTATCTGCTGGAGTAAGAAAGGGTTAAAACAATTTTTCTAAAGTCAGGGTTGGGCTGAGAGGGCAGCGTCAGCTCGAGGCTGAGCTTGTCGGGTTCATGCTGCTTTGGTTTGGGGTTGACTTGGCTGGCTAGGTCAGAAGAGTGTGTGGGTAACAAGCTACAGAAATGAGAGCAGTGCCTGGCCCAGGTCTGTCCAGAGGAAGTGGGGGAGGGGAGGATCTCCTTTTCGCCCCTCTGTGCTCGTCACGAACCTCACTTAGAGAACCTTCAAAAGTCCCGAATGGAGAGGATAAGGAAGCAAGAAGCAAGATGGGCCAAAGTCCGTTGCCCCATCCTGATGATAAGTCAGTGTATCCCATGAATTCAGCTGAGCACCATGTGGTCACTCACATCTGCTTTGTGAGAGGCTGTCCTGAATCATGGGGTGGGAACTCTTGGATTTATAAGTTTGAGGAAGAATGGTAGGAAGTGATACCTTTGTAAGGCCTTCTTTCCCAGGAGCCTGATTCAGCCCCTTGCTGCTTGTACGTCTGAGGGCTTCATCTTCCCTGAGGAGTTTGGTATTTCCTAGGAAGAGTAGTTTCATGTGCTGGGACACAAATCCCACACCGTCAGGATCTTTTCCTTCCTGTTTAAGTTGTTTGTTTCGTTTTTTAAATTTAATTTAGTTTAATTTTTTTTCAATGAACAAAGATCTGTATTCTCTCCCTCTCACCTCCCTCTTCCATTGAAAAAACAAAAACAAAACCCTTGTAACAAATATGCACAGTCAAGCAGAATGAATTCTCACATTGGCCGTGTCTAGAAACGTCTGTCTCATTTTGTACCCCGAATCCATCAGCCCTCTGACAGAAATGGGCTTCATTCATCACGAGTCCTCCAGAACCATAGTCAGTCATTGCATGGATGGGAGTTCTTAAGTTGTTTGTTTCTTTACAGTGGTATTGTTACTCTAAGTTGTTCTCCTGGTTCTGCTCATTTCACTCTGTATCAGGTTGTTCAGATCTTCCCAGGTTTCTCCCTTTCATCATTTCTTACAGCGCGGGAGTACGGCACAGCCGTCACCTGGCCTGGCTCCATTTTAAGGTGCATAGTACTGGGGCCCCTCTTCATTGGGCGTGTCTGCCATGAGCTCCCATCTGGAGGAAAGCCTTCGCTGGCCTGGTGGTTAGTGCAGTCTCACTTCTTCTTTCCCGAGACGTCTCCAAGGCTTCGTCTCTTTTTGGGTGCCCGGCCTCACACGGTTGTGTGGGTGGAGGTAGCAGCTGCGCTGTGTTTTTCATGTGCCTCAGAGTTCTGTGTTCACCCTTGTCCCCCACCCTCCTGCTGTAATAAGATTGCTAAATACAGCAAAGTTCCTGTTTTTCTTAGCTAAATTTTGAAGCCCTTCTTTGGGATAAGGGAACAGAACTCAAAGACAAGGGTATGGATTCTCCTTAGGGATCTTAGAAGCCCACTATGTCTCTGTGGGCTTACCTGATGTCATGACCCTTGTTTAGATGGATACCCTTGTTTAAAGGCCCTCCCATCTGAACCTGGCTGTTTTTCAGAGTTGGTTCTTTCCCAGGGACTCCTCAGGTGAAGTCTCCCTTCCTCTCCAGCCTTCCCCCTCCCCAAACCGCCCCCCCCCGCACCCCTGGACTGGAACTGGTGGAGGCTGAGTCTTATGTACCAGTCTGTCTCCCCAGAACCACCTTCCCTTGTCTCGTTGGGATTACAGGATCAGAATATCATGGGAGATTAAAGGGCAAAGATGCCAGCCCAACAGGCTGATCCTCTTAGAGCTTGACCTTTGACTCCTGCCTCCGAAGAGGAACCAAATGAATGAATGAAACACTGTTACTAAAGGAGATTAGTCTGTGCCTGGGGAACCCTGGCCCCAGCTTGTCCCATCCATGGGGCCAGCCATGCAGTCCCCCCGGCTTGCTGAGGGAGCCAGCCCAGGCAACGTTCTCACAGCTCTTCTCCAACTGATGTTGGAGCACCTGCCCAGTCAAACTCTCCTCTATTCAGTGTGTGTCCCAAGTAGGCCCTCGAGGGTATCAGAAGGCATGTGGCAGTGCTGGTGGAGCTTGGGATTGCCAAAACTGGAAGGACTGGCCCTTAACCAGGGCGGGCGAGGAAGGGACTCTGAGATGAACAGGGCTCATGACCCTGCCGAAGCCGCTCTTGGCTTCTTGTACAGGGTCCTCACCTGAAGCTCTGGAGGTCATGGGTCAAGGAGGGCTTGCCTGTTAGCGCAGGTGCTGGGGGGGGTCTCCCCTGCTGTGCTGAGAAGCAGAGCCTGGGGTCCCCACTTCCCTGCTGAGCCCTTCTCCAGCCACTCCCCTCCTGGTAGCTTAGCTCAGGGTAAAGTGAACCGTCACTATTTCAGCTGCTGTGGTTTTTGCTGTTGTGGACAGTAGTGCCACTGACAGCTACCCAGTGATCTATTACTTCTCTCCTAGTCTGAGAAGAGAAGGAAATCCCAAGCCCTTATTTTCCTGTAAGGAATAGGAGGAGAGAAATCTCTTGTTTGACTTTTTTTTCCCCCATACTCTGTAAGCAAATGGCCGGCCTTCCTTCCTTTCTTCTTCTCCTTATGGCAGTTTTATTACCAGTTTGGCCGAGGCTGAGATCATTTAATGTAGGAAATGAATGCTTGCTGTTGTGTGTCCATTCTCCTTCCTCATTCTCCCTTCGACCCCCTTTACAGGTTCCCTTTAGAGAGGAGGAGAGAAGGCCTGGGGTCTAACTAATCACTGCCTTGGACCTGAGCGCTGAAGTTGAGCTACCAAGAGAAAGCAAATGACCTTGTGCAGTGTAGCCTGTGACTTCAGGAAAGGGACACTCGGTATTTGCCAGCTCCTCAGTGCCAACCAAAAGGATATTACATAGACCCAGAGAGCACCCTACAGGCCCTAGTTCATGGGACTATACGCTATTATAGGAAGCCTACAGTCACTTTAGTGCCAGCTAGCAAGACCTCAGGACTTTGGAGAAGGACTAGGAGACATATTTGCTGCTGAGGGTATTCTTTGGGCACCTTCCAGGATGAGGAGGAGCCTCCTTTGGAGACCAAAGAGAGATGTGTCATGTGGGAAGGAGCTTGTCACTTTCCTAGAACACTTTGGTAAGAGGTGAGGCTTTGGAGTTCTGTAGGAGTGGATGGAGTAAGAATCTTCTAGCTGCCACCGCCACCCTACCAGAACCTGGAGCTTAACTTTAGGGAGAGCGCTCAGGGCAGATGCAGCCTTGAATGCCAGGAATCCATGTAGTGGTTCAGTAAGATCTCATTCCCTGTCATTCCCTGGTCAGCCCTGGTGGGTTATGAGACGAGTAAGTTGTCTGCCGAGATACATAACTGCTACATGCGTGCGTGTGTGCCAGCTTGAGAGTCTGTGGGGCAACTCGTCTCAGTTACTTTGGAAGAATTCTTGGCGAGGTCTTTGTTGAACTCTTGAATGACTTGGATGTAATGTTCCCCAGCCTTGTGGGCTGCAGAACGATCTAGTTAGATAGTCTTTTGCATTTCTGGGCACAAGGAACTAGATTGTGTTTAACTACCGAGAAGCCACTAGCCCTCGGATAATTCCTGTTTCTCTATTCCTTCAGTACCAGGTAGGACAGCTGTATTCGGTGGCAGAGGCCAGTAAAAATGAAACTGGTGGTGGTGAAGGTGTGGAGGTCCTGGTGAATGAGCCCTATGAGAAGGATGGAGAGAGAGGCCAGTATACCCACAAGATCTACCACTTACAGAGGTATGTGGAAGTGAGCACTGGCTCTGTGAGCCGAGGGGCTTGGAAGGACTGCTTAATCTGATGAGAAGAGCCTTCCAAGGAAGCCAAGAACTGGCCTTGGGCAAGAGTAGAGATCCTGGGGTCAGCCCAGTGATCGTGGGGTGCCTGAGAGGAGTGGGAATCTAGAGTGGTCACTGGGACTGACATCTGAATCAAAAACAGGAATCCCCACAAATTCCTTGAACTCCAAACCCTTTTCCTTCCTAAATTATGAACAGTGCCTTGCACATAGTAGATGCTGAATAAGTATTTGTTGAGGTGGAATTGAGTTCTTTTTTGGACCAGGGTTCTTTTAAGAAATGTCTATTGATCCAGTCTGAACTAGACCCAGCTATCAGTGTTTTATTCTAAGCTATTAAACTGGAGTCAAGCCAGCGCTGAATCGATGGTTTCCAAACGGAATCTAAATTTATTTCATCTGGTTCAATTCCTGATTTAAAGTGATCTAGCTGCCGGGATGGTGATAGAAAGCGTTTGGCACATGTGTTAGTGAGGTGATTTTGAGGGGCAGAGCAAGGACTAGTTAGTCCAAGGCAAGATTCCTGAGGCAGGTTACATGTCTCTTTGTTGCCCTCCCACTTACCTGGTCAATGCCCTTCCTCCTTCCCTTAGGCATTTCTCCCCACCCTCTGACCCCCAGGTGCCTATCGGCCTGGTATAGAGTAGAAGGACCAAAAGACTTGGAATCAGAAGACAGGTTCCATCACAGGTTCCCCATCACTGGAGGAGTCACTAACCTCAGCTTTCCCTTCTGTAAAATGGAGACAATAATACTTCTGTTACCTCACAGGATTGTTGTGAAGAAAGTGCTGAACAGACTGTAAAATGTTTTATAAAAACTTAAGCTATGATTGAGCCAGTGTTCCATTCTTGCTTTTACCTCGTTTACTGATCTCATGACTAATAAGGTGCTAACTGAGTACAAGGGGTGATACTTCCACTCATCCTTTTCCCTATCCTCTGCTATTTGCATTTGTATAGGGGACTTCTAAAGCTAAGCAGTAGGGTTGACATTTGGGAGTTGACAGTGATTTAGGGCCCGTGTTATATTATTTGCTCAGTCTTCGGGTAGATGCCACTACTTTCTCCTGTTTGCACTATTACCACCCCCCAACAACACACACTTGCAAAGGAGAGACTCCAATGTTTTCAGTCACTTCTGTTATCCATGAGGATGTGAATGAAGGAATATTTGGCATTTTGGCATGTTATCTCCAAAAGGTTGGTGACTCTCTTGTTAGTTCTGAGGTCTTGTTTCACACTGAGGTTCTCAAGCTGTTGTGAGCAGCCTCCCGAAGCCTAGGTGAGCTGTCACATCCACTAAAGATCCAGGGAAGAAGAGCCATGCCCTGCTCAGACATTCCTGAGAGTAGGATTGGAAGAACTGAGTAGGACGGGATATTTTGTACTGGGGAGAACACAAACCTTAACTTCCCAGGAGCACCAGAGTGTCATCTCCAAAATGGTGGAAAGAACTGGCCATATTAGAAGGACAAGGGCATAGGAACATGTTGGTTCCCACTTCCCTCGGGCTGTTCCAAGCTGGAGTGGAGGCCTTTTCCTGATTGCCAGCCACCCTGGCACACTGCTGGGCTGGCAGATCCTTGAGGATTAGGTTCTGTTTGCTTTGTATTTGTGCCTGCGGTTTCCTTCTAAAGTATAATTCTGGTCACGATGCTTCCTTGGCTTTTTCAGTGTTGGGTTTTGTTTTTTCCCTACTGCCTGCTGAATTAAGTCCAAACTCTTTAGAATAACATTCAAGCTCCTCCATGGTCTGACTCCAGCCTACCTTTCCCTCCTGCTATTTCCATGTAGGTTCTCTACACTCCAACTAAACTCTCCTAGCTGTGCTTAGTTACTTCTGTGCCTTCCATCCCCTCCCTTCTCATCTTTCCTGGAGGAAATGCTGTCCCTCCTTCCAGGCCAGAACAAGTAACCCTTGTGCGAAGCCTCCCCAGATGATCCTACCAGCAGAAGTGCTCCCTCTCTTCTCAGTGCTCCACACGTGATTCCTCTGCTCATGAGGCTATCCCGTTCTGTGTTATACTTTGTTGGGTTGGTCTCTTCTATATTGTAGTTTCCTCATGATGTAAACTGTGTTTCTTCCTTGTGTGCCGTAGTGCCCAGCGTAGGTGCCTAACACACAATAGGAGCTTAACACTTGATAAATGTTTGCTGAATTGAGTCCCAACCCCTGGAATACCTAGAACCATGCTCTGGAACCAAGGAGCATGAACTGAGCTAAGTTAATGCTTATTCACTAATGCAAGTGGCCCAGAGGCCCCCTCTGCTTTGAAGGTTTTGGCAGAGAATCAGGGCCTAGGCTCTCGCTCTCTTGCTCATCTGGTGATGGGTTAGGTATTGGGTATTGATCTGGGAAACCAGACTCGCTTGAGACGCCGGATCTCTTGTGTCCTAAGGCCAAGTGGTCTGGGGTCTCAAGGAACTCGCGCCCTGGGACTTGTCACAGGACGCTGAAGGTGTGGTCTGAAGAATGCTGAAAAAGTCCACTGTGTTTTTCTTCTCTCCTTCCCTTTCCCCATCCCCCACTGCAGCAAAGTGCCGACATTTGTTCGAATGCTGGCCCCCGAGGGATCCCTGAACATCCATGAAAAAGCATGGAATGCCTACCCCTACTGTAGAACAGGTGAGTAGAGGAAGGCCTGCTAGCTAGGGAGGGAAGGTTAGAGTGGGGCAGAGGAGATGGGGGTGGAGTCAGGCTTCTTCAGCGACCTTTTTGCCTTTAAGTAGGCCAGCAAAAAAATGTCCAAGAAAAGGTTGGGGCCAGAGGCTGACTTCCGGCCAGTGTGTGCCGTTATTGGTTGGTTAACACTGAGTAGACAACTAGGTGGGTAGAAACCATCAAGGTAGTTGTGCCCAGTAATCTTCCTTTTGGGCTTGGTACATCCTGATCTGTGGATGAACTTGAGATGTTTTTATTTTGAGAAGAAACTGTAGGTGAGGTAGACCCTGAGAGGTTATTTAAAATCCCTCATCAGCAAGACAGTTTCTTATCTCTGGACTTGTACTGTGGGCTAAAAAGAGAGGCAAAGGAAGAAGTGATATTTGTTTATATCTTTTCTTTTAAGAACAGATAATGCAAGGGGCAGCTAAGTGGCGCAGTGCATAGAGCTCCGGCTTAGGAGTCAGGAGGACCTGAGTTCACATCCGACCTCAGACACTTGACACTTACTGGCCGTGTGACCCTGGGCAAGTCACTTAACCCCGACTGCCTCACCAAAAAGCCAAAAAAAAGAACAGGTGATGCAGTGACCTGCTAGTACAAGGAAGCTGCCATTTTGTACATAGATATATGTGCCCCTGCCCAATGGAGAGAGCCCTCCCTATGGACCCTGGTATCTGGACCTCATGGCTGGACACCAGGGGTCCAAATTAGGAGGTGGGACTGTGGGCGCTCTAAAACCATAATGATTAATGACCTTGTTCAGCTCTGTGTCCAGTATGTTTCTGGGAGGGACAGGGCCCTCTTTAAGAGGACTTTTGGGCATGTGGCCAAGTGGCAATTTGGTTTAGGTCTTCTGGTGTCTTCCTCATTGGTTCAGGATCTTCTGGAACTTGCCCGTTTTTCTACGCTGCTGGCCTGACCTGGCCCGTGGTCACTATACACCAGCCCTTATCCCCAGCCCTGAGCAATAATTCTTCATTGGCCTCCAGATACTTATACTGGTGTAGACGAGGGCAAACGTTGTTGTTAAGAATGTTTTCTTGATCTCAGACGCTTTGGCTGCTTGGTGCCTTGTACTGGTTTGTCCTTCCTGGGTTACACTAATGTATTTGTATATAGCTTCTCTGCTGTTTGCATGCCAAGCCTGATTCCATGAATTTGGGGAGTAAAAGGGTCATGGAACTGTGTGTTCTTTGTCCTCCGGAGACCTCGAGCCCAGGCTCCATGGGTGGGGTGGAACATGGCTATTGCTTGGGCAGTGATGGATCTCCAGATGGCCTCTTAGGTGGGTGAGGTCTCCAGAGGGAACACCCAACTCTGGAGTTCACCATTTGTGAACAAAAACGTACCCATGACTCAGAGTGTGTCATCACTTCAGCCTAACCAATGGGCAGATAGTGACTGTATTCCTGGAAACAAGACATCCACAGTTTCTTCAAAGATGACATGCAATATGACTGGGTGTGTCTGGTCTTGGGCCAAAGGTGAATTTTCCCCTGGCACCCAGGAACATCGTACTAGGCATATTCTGTAGTTAACTCTAAGTTTCTTAGGTTTTCAGTTAACTAAGTTTCAGTTTGGCATGGAGCAGCCCATGTTCAATGCTTGGCATGAATGTTGTGAGCTGCTGCTACGTGTCCAGAGGTAGAGTTCTGGGCATGGTTAGCCCCGGCAGAGCAGTGCCCCTGTCCCTGTCGTCTGCTTATTTGCTAAGGAGATGGAAGCTGCCATGAGGGGGTGAGCATTAGCTCATATATTGATTTGCTCCTTGGAGAAAATGTTGGTGCCCCCCCATAGTCCAGGCAAAGCATGAAGGGCCAAGTACCGGTGGAGGAGGGAGAGATGATCTTTAGGGACACTGACCATCCATCTAAAGAGACTGTCTTTGTGAAATGACGTCTCAGCATAAACAAGTAGAGCTCTGATGTCTCTCTCTGGGGTTTGGTGACAGATGGGTTTTAGATCCAAATCCTTACCTAAACGTTTAACTCTAATTTAGTTTCCAAAGGAAGGTGTTTAAGGTAGGGTGGGCTAATATTTTACTTACCTTCTGAAGGCCTTCCATTTCATGAGAGGAGTGAAAACATAATTCAATTCGACAAACATTAGAATCCTACTGTGTGTAATATACCGTGCTAGGCTCTGGGGTGACAAAGACAGGGCATGAGCCCTGCCATAAAGGACAAGTCGTATCTACAGATACTTATGATGCAAAAGGTTCCGAGATAAATGAAATGGAGAGGTGAGGAGGAGGGAGATGTCCTTTTTCCTCTTGGGTGAGGTCAGGGAAGGCTTCATGGAAGAGGTGTCACCTTTAGTAGGTGAAGGTCAGGGAGAAGGATGCATTCCAATTATGGCACCTCTGGCATGGGCAAAGGCATGGAGACTAGAGATTATGGGATAGGAAAAAAGGATGGCTGGAGAAGAGACTGGTCCAGTGTAACTGGAATATAGTATACGTTAAGAGGATAATAAATGTTTATTAAGCCCTGATGTGTATAAGGTACTGTGTTAGGTCCTGAGAATGTGAAACATAAGTGCTAAAGTCTGTGCCCATGAGGAGCTTCAATCTATTTGGGAGGCACAGCACATGTGCAAATATACATATATGTTATATATGTGTGTATTTACATACACACATTCATACACACACATATATGAATATCTCACAAGGAAAATGGAAAGGTAGAAAGAGTATAGACAATTGAGGAATGATGGAATTCTTCATGAAGTGCCTGAACTGAGCCTTGAAGAAGTAGGGTTCTGAAGTGGAGGAGGGCAGGCATTCCAAGAAGGGAGAGTGACCTGGGCAAATTTGTGGAGGCAAGAAATGGAGTGCAGAATTTGAGGGGTCCATGTACTACATGGCATGAAATAAGGAGAGGCAGCAGCCGGATTGTTGAGAGCCTTGAACGTGGTGTCCGTCGAGCAGGTATGTTGGAGTCCCTAAGTCTGAGGTCTTGGATCGCAGAACGAAAGCCCGGGTATTGAAATTGCTTGAAAAAGGAGGGAGGGTGACCTGAAGGCCAGAGGACCAGGGCAGCAAGGATCCAGCCTGGCTGATAGCAGCAGAAGGCGTGAACCTCCAAAGGAGAAAGCTTGCTGAGTAATGATGGCTGAGGGATGGTCTGGAAGTGGCAGTGAGGAGTCAGTGGTCTTCCTGGCCCGCTGTGTTGGGGGACAGGAGAGAAGGAGCAGTTAGTCCCGGAGAGAATGTTTTCTGGAGACAGCCAGGTTTCTGTAACTGCCTCGAGTTAGAAAGAGTTTGAAGAGGGACTCGTGTGAGATCAGGCAGCAGATAAGCTCTACTGTGGAGGCTCTAGAATGCCAGGAACAGGATTTGTACCTTGTTTAGTAGGAAATGAGGAACTGATGAAGATTTTGGAGCAGAGCTGTGGTGTTATCAGGACGTCGCATCAGGAAAATTACTTGGACGGTGGTGCCTGGTATAAATTGAGAGCACGATAAGTTAGGGGGCCATTACAACGTTGTGAGCAAAAAGAGAGGGAGGGCTTGAGGTAGGGTAGCATTATGAGTGGAGATGGGCAGATAGGAGAGCTGCTGGAGGAAGAGGGTCGATAGCACTGGCAACAAGATACAGATGTTGAGGAAGAAGAGAATGGCAAAGATGACGTCACGGTCACGACGCTGGGTGACCTGGAAGCTAATAGTGCCACCCAAGGAAATAGAGAAATTAGTGGGAAGGGCTTGGTTTGAGGAAACAGAGGTGGAGTTCCAGTTTGGAAATGATGAGCTGAAGGCCGTTCAGAGAGAGCTGTAGCCCCAGTCCCTTGGAATTAGAGCACTGAAGCAGAATGGGGGGGAAGACTTTGTGGAGGGCAAGGGCACGAGTGATCTGTAATTCATCTGAATAGAAGTCAAAAATGGGGCCGTGGGCATGGATATGTAGAGGAGAGAGGGTTGTCAGGGACAGAAAAGGGGAGATCCCCATTTAGGGCATGAAGGGCAGCCAGAGGGGAAGTTGGGAGGGCATGCCACAGAAGCCACGCGGAAGGAGAGGGCATCATGAAGAAGCTATGGCTCTCAGTGCCCTGTGGCGCTGGCCATGTCACGAGGGGCAGCAAGCAAGGGGAAAGAGCAAAGACTGTTGAATTCAGCAATAAAGCAGTTCCTAGTGACATCGGAGAGAGTCGTTTCAGTGGGGTGCTGGGGGTTGGAGGCAGTTTGCAAGAGCTGAATAGTGAGTAGGTGGTAAGGAAGTAGGGGGAGTGAGTGTATAGACTGCTCTTTCTAGGAGTTGACAGTGGAGGAGTGAAAAGACGTGCTGGGAGGGTGAAGGGAAGGCTTCCGTTTTGTTTTTTAGGTCAGGGAATACCTGAGAATATTTGCAGGCTGAAAAAAGGAGCCAGTAGAGGAGACATTGAGTGGGTATGACCAGAGGGAATGATTAATGGAGCAAGGCCTAAAGGAGTTGAGAGGGTGTGAGACTGTGACAAAGGGGTGTGCAGCTGAGAGGCTCTGCTTGGCCTCCATCTGGAGTGGCGGAGGGGAGAATTCCTGAAGATGCAGTGAGGTTTCAAACGGAGGGCCCATGTTGGAGCTGGAGGGCGTCAGTATCGCTGTGAAGTCATCTCCAGGGAGCGAGTTGGGGAAAAGTGGGAGAGAAGAGAAAGCTGGAAATAGATGAGAATGAGAGCATTGATGAAAGATGGCTGAAAGGCTGATCCTGAGGCAGCAAGGGCCTACTTGAGGTTAAAAGCCTCCAGGCAATACGGGGTTCAGAATGACTTCATGCTCTCGAATACATGGAGCTTTTCCCGCACACTCTAGCTTCCTAGGCTCTTCTTAACTTCCAAGGTGATTGGTTGTCAAGATTGGTCTTGGGAAAGAGGAAGAGAAGCAGTACCATTCCTTGGGTCCAAAAGAATTGGTTTAAAATTAGCTCAAGCTATCTTCACTCACGTAGAAGCCTTTGTTCTCTAACTGAAAGCCAGTTTCTAAGCCCTCCAACTCTATGAAAGTATGGTGTCCGTCAGAAATACAGGCAGCTTCTGCACTTCAAGGACACGAGGTGAAGACTTTTGTTGGGAGATCGTTTGCTCTCCAGTGACATAGGATCTCGCAGCCATTTTTCTCTGATGAATAATTGAGCCTTGCTTTCCAAAAGGGTCTAATTACAATGAGCAGGGGTACAGAGGGGATGGGGTCTGGTTACAGTGAGTGGAAGGGACGCAGAGGCTCAGTGGGCAGTGCTTGGATGCCCTCCTGCCTAGCCTCAAATCCCCAAGCCATGATGATCTGGTTCTTCGGGGTGATGGGGGCTGCAGTGGGTCAGCTGACCAGGTTCTGTTCCATTTCCCTGCCCAGTTGGAAAGGATCCAGAGAACAGATAGTGGCATCTCTTTAATTAAGTGCAGAATTTGTTCTTCTGGGCTTCTGCCTGACTAGCAAAACTCAAGGGGATGGGGGAAGCCTAGTTTTTCCTGACTGGCCAGAGGGCCTGGTGGGACGACTTTGGGCAGTGAGGCTGGGAGTTGAGAGCCACCTTGCTACTGCCAGCCCCTGGGGGAGGGAGGGCAGTTTTTCATCTGTCCTTATTAATCTCTTGTCTTTCTTCCTTCCATGCCCTAACCTTGGAGCAGTTATTACAGTAAGTATCTTCAGGGGGTCTGTCGTGTGTGTGTGTGTGTGTGTGTGTGTGTGTGTGTGTGTGTGTGTGTG